CTGGAGATTTCTTGGAGAAGTTGCAGTGCCATAAGTTATGCAGAGTCACGTCTCATAAATTATTGCACGGTGCAAAATGCTGGTGGAAATTTCGTCTAGCCATCTTGCATAAGTTATCACAGTTTACTAAGGGGAGATACTGATTATCGTGGGTCTGGTACTTACATAAACCAGTTAAGGAGCGGAGGGATAAGCCGAGACCAACGGGGGGTGCCATTTTGTTTATTACTAACGCATGACGCAAATTTATTTTTAAAAATCTCCTTCTTCGGGATTGAATCATTGATTTCGCATGCACTCAACTCCCATATGATAATAAAACTCAGACCCGAAAAAAATCCGGGAATCGAAAAAAAAAAAAACGTTTCACCCCCGCCCCAGGGGTTGACCTACGATTTTTGCGCGAGGAAAATCAATCCTTCAGAAAATGGAATTTTCCATCGAATCATTAAAGCCCTAAAAGCTAAAAACCATTTTTCCAACACGGGATAAACAAAAAAATAAATTCATTAAACGAGACAGGTTTAGTAAAAAAAAAATTCCTTCATTTTTATTTATTCAAACAATACATCTAATCAATCACCCTCAGGTATTCAATTCGAAAAACCATCGAGTCAAGTGATTGATTTCCTTAAATTAAATTGAAAGCCATCACCACCGCTATTCTACGATAACTCAAACCAGCGGACACTTGTACATTTCCGGTAGCTGTTGAATAGATGGTGATTAAGCCCAGGGATGATGAACTGGTTTGGTGATTGCAGCATGATGGACAGCTTTGGCAATGGCATGTTGCTTAGCAGCAGCAATATCCCGAATCTAAACATAAATATTTCAATGAATCACCGCCTAAAATCACTCAAACTGTCATAGAAACCTTGGCCTCTCGTTCACTCTGACTGATTTGCTTGTCCACATCTTGTTTACGGAGTTCTGCTGCTGTTTCCGCAGCATTTCGCTGTATAGCAGCAGCAGCTGCTGCCTCCCGAGCAGCAGCAACTCTCTGAGCTGCAGCAACTGCATCCTTCAAAGATGCCAATTTCTGTTGGAGAACAACGAGTTGTTGAGCACTCGCTCTAGCTTCTGATTGCGTGTGAGCGGAAATCGCCTCCGATCTGTTATCATATCATATCAAAGAGAATTTAAAAAGTAATCGTGCAGATGAATTGACAATCAGCAGTGGAATTATCAAACCCCATTATCACCTTTCTGCTGCCACCCGAGCTGCTGCCTCTTTTGCCAGCGCAATCTTCTGCTGAATTATCGTTGCTTGTTTGGTTTCAGCAACTCTCTGCTGTGCTATCAGCACATTCTCATTGGCGGATTTCGCGTGCTGAATTGCCCGGAGAATTTCAGGAGTATAGGCTATACTCGGAGTGCCAGGAGATGATTCTCTGAGAGCCTGATAATTAAATCCCACGAGAATTCTTTGAATAAATATTTTTTTATGAATTTTTATCCGCGAATTTATTACCTGCAGCGCAATATCGTGAGTTGCTTGGGTCTGCACTTGTCGCAGAGCAAGATCGGATGCTATTGGTCCCACCCAGGGCCCCAGAAAGGTCCCCGGGGCCCAGGGGGAGTCGTACCCCGGGAAAAGCCCGAAATTATCAAACCCTGGAGGCCCCAAAAATTCAACGCCGCGCTTCTGCTTTCTCTCCGATTGAATTTTCCCTTCTGTCAAATACGCGGACACCAGCAGTAAAATATTCTGGAAATAATGAGGCTGTTAATCCCAATGCACGTCCCACAAAAGAAAATCAATTAAAAAACGAATGGAATCCATTAAACAATTTTATTAGATTTCCATTGAATCTCGTCGGAATTCATTGGATTCCGATTCCCTTAAAAGTTTCAGCATAAAAATTCAATGGAATTCGATTTTTCTGTTGTTTCTTCCTTCAGATACATTTACAAATTTTTTTATGAGTATTTGTTTACGGGAATTGAATAGAAAAATGGAGAAATCCAGGGGAATTGTTTTTTTTAATGATTTTCCAAAATTCGTGATGGAATTTAGGGGATAATATGAGAATCACCATTGAAATGATGTTCATGATTGTGAGACGGTCTGGGCAGTACTGTCCATTGAAAATTAACCGGTGGTTTATATAGCCCCTCAAAATTCGCCACTCCGGAAGTGAGAGAATTAATTAAAAACATCGACTAGTGAGAAACTAGGTATTTTATAAGTAATTGCGGGCCATGAGAGGACTAATTGAATTAGAGAGGGATTTATTGTGCCCCTCCTAGGGCTCCATCCTCTCGGGGTACGACGAAGGGAAAGTCGATCCAAATATCAACTATTATTTCTTCCTTCAGTGGACAACGACTAATTAAAATCGAAATTCCATTGAAAGACAACGATTAAAAGGAAAACAAAACGAATAGACACGGGAAAAAATTTTTTGAAGGTACAGTATAGTCGGCATCAAATAAAAAATCCACTTGTTCATTCACTTCAATTTATTTTAATGAATAGAATTCAATATCATATAATAACAATATTTTTGCATCTAAAAATCCAAGAGATGGTGATGGCAATAGAGACGACTCGTCTACAAGTTTTCATCTTTCAATTTCTCGAAAATTATACTAAAAAGATTTCGACTAGATCACTTTTCTTCAATTATTGACTGCTCGATCTCGTTCATCTACTCACGTCAGAAACGTGGGATGAGATCTTTATAAAAAAATATTGAGGAAATACTTACAGATATTCATAGTAATATGTGCTTTCGTGTATCATTTCTCATTAAAGTTTCATCTCTATAATGTTAAATTTAATTTTTTTCTTGGTTCTATGTAATTATTTTTCTAAATCTTCAAGACGCCGAGTGATGTGGCCACGCAGCACAGACTTATGGATGGCCTTACTAACGCAGAGATCTTACTTGTTCCCAATTCCAATAATTCAACGATAATAATCAATTATTTTGAAGATTCTCTTTTAAATTACTTTATACTTTAAGCTAGAGACTATGCGGCGAATGGACTAAGCATCGGCGCAAGTAATCACACATAGAACTCATTCTTTGGACCCAGCTCGTACTCGATCTCTTCATTTTTGTGCATCTCCAAAACCTGAAAGCATTTCAATTATTTTTCCCCCCGAAAAAAATACTTCTCCATCCTCCATTCTATTCTCCCTCCAACATCCATTTTTTTCCACAATAATAAATGAATAATAATAATTATACATAATAATAGAGAATAATCAATAAGGATATGAAAAAAATATTGATGAATATTTTTATTGAGTGCTCACCCCATTCATTTCCTTCTGCAACTCCTCGAGCTGCTCATTATGAATGATCTTGAGTTTCTCTTTTTCCCTGTTCTGTATAATTTGTGCCATTTTTCGTTCCTCCATGAATTTCTTGGTATTATTCTGCTGCTTCTCCCTGAGTCTACCCTCCTTGATCTGCCTCGTCTTCAAAGACTTATCATTCATCACTTCCCTCGTGCTCTCCACAGAGGACCTAGCCTGTTTAGCATTCAAATCTTTAATTTCCCTCTCATGTCTAGCACTGAGTTGTTTTGCCTGACTCAATTGCGCTGCAATGCACAATTTCCGTAGCTGTATACGACGTTCCTCCAAGTGAGTGCGAATTAAATCACGCTCCTCACGTCTTTGACGTTCAGCAAGATGTGACCACTGGGCCGTTTGCTCAGAAACCGCTCTGCGAACGATTGGATCCCTCGATAAGTCGGCTTTGCTGAGTTTAAAAATTCCACGTGATTCAATTTTGATAATCATTATGCCCCAGATAAATCATTAAACTTGTTGAAAAAAATCAGCAGCCAATTGGTGAAGGTGCAACAGTCCCTCGTCCTCGTGGGTGAATGTTGCCCTTCACTTCTTGACAGTTGAAATTAATTGGTGAGATGACGACGGTATGGAATGCCTCAATCATGACAATTACTTCGATCATTTGATCGACAGAATCAACAGAAATTCACATGATCAAAATTAAACCACGCTTCCAATTTAATGTCCACATATTTATTACTCACTTTTTCCCTTTTATCAACTTCTCAATAGCTGCGCATTGCTGTTTCTGCACGGCATTACGCTCCTTCTGCTGCCTCTTCTTCAGGGACTCCAAGTCCTTCTGCTGTTTACGCACCAGTTTTTGATACCCCTTTTCTTGGCGGAGAGACTCCACAGTGATTGGTTCAAATTCCATTATCTCTAAATTTTGGAAATTAAATTTTCAGCGGGTAAATATTTTTTTTCAATGAAATCGAGTAAAAATTAATAGACCGTTGAGAAATTCTCTGACTAAATTCACTAGGTCTTTTTGTTGAATTTTTTCGTGTAGCATTACCTCGGGGTTTAGCTGTTTCAAGTTGTCGTGATTGGGAAGAATCCCCAGGAAATCTGTCACCCTCTACTATTCCCAACCCTCGTAATCTAGCTTGCGAACTTATTTCTGTTTTTCTCGCAGCACGAGGTGCAGTAAGTGCATCCATAAATTCTGCAATAAATTAATAAACGATAAATAAATTATATCCTCAATTACACCAATGAATAAATTTTCGTGAAATATCTCTTCACCCCGAAGAGTCACAAAAATTTTTGTAGAATATTTTTTCCAGCTCCGATTTCCCTCTACAAATGAGATCTAGCGTAAAATTTCCCTATCTCTATCAGTTTTCGAGATATTCCCTGAAGGATTAATGGAAAAACTTGTCTCGCTATCTCTCTAACTTTCGGCCATTGAATTTGTGCAGTGAAATGTGTTATCGTGAGGCTAAAAACCTTGAAATCCATCTGGCACGTAGATTTTAATCTCAATATTGCAGAACAGCATTGGCAGGGACATTGGAAAATTAGCTTCTGTCCGGAGAGCGATGTGACGATATCCTGATTGCAGTCCATCGAGGGGAACAATTCTCTGCCCTAAAAGACGTCCATTCTCATCATAAACCGCGAAGCGGAGTGCAGCCAAGTCCGGAAGAACAACTTTCCGGAATAAAAAGGGTTCCTCATTGTAGACCGGATTTAAACCATTAGCAGGTATGACTTTTGTCCGAAATTCCTTTCGTATCGTGTCCGTAGGTAGCCCATACATTTCCACCTCAACGTACGTTCCCACTTTCTTATCAGATAAAAATTGTCCAGCAATAACCTGAAATCAATTCGCACCACCCCTCACAGTCATAACTCCAATTTTCACCCCCAAACTAGACACAAACAAAAATATTCCCCAATAACAGTAACAATGCTACCATGCAAATTATCGAAGAATATCTCAGGATCTGATAGAAATATCGAAATTTTCGTAGAAACCTATTTTCCAGCTCTCGATCCGCTCTGTGAAAAATGTCATCATGAAAATTTCGTTATCGCACTTGGATTCCGAGATATACCTCGAAAACTCGAGTAAAGATAACAGAGAGAGAAAGAGGTGAAATTGGAGTAGTTTGCCTCTTGGGTAGTGAATCCAGTTGAGCTGGAATGACAGTTCAATAGTCATTCCAATAATAATTGTTTGGAAAGGTCAAACATTTCCAATAAAGGGTAGCCCCCAGGGGATTTGATGCGTCATCGTTTTTTGTGTGATGAATTTCAACTATTTACTTGAACACTGCATTGAGTGGCAATGACACCATCAACTGGACTCTCGGCAAATGGATCGAAGCTTCGATCAGCTCGTCTCATAAAATCGGGCTTCAACAAATAGCCCGACGATCCGTTATATTCGAATTTGCCTTGGTTGAGTTGCATTGGCAAGTCGGCCGTTTGGAAATTCAATGAAACCATTTGACAGCCAGCGTTCCAAAAGACCTGAAGCAATATTTTTTTTTCATTCCATCATCACGGAATCACATGGACTGAAGAAAATTATTTTACCTGTGGCATATAATTAGAAGAGTCGGCCCGAGTGCCTTTCGGATAGATCCGACTCATTTGGCGTTTATTATAATTGACGAATTCGATAGCTGATGTCTTCAGGTGATTCAGGCCAGTGTTCTCGGCGAAGGAAGACATGTTGTAGTGGATATTTTTTTCTGGGGGAGACAGCATTGCCAGAATATACAGCGATAGTGAAGGCTTTTGAAATATAATATTTCAACTTACGTTCCGCGATGTCGAAACCTTGAAACTTGATGGGTTGTGCGTAATTCACCATGGAGGAGAGCCAGGGATGGACATTCGTGGTGCTTCCAGTGTACGGCACCTGCTGGACAACAGCTAGCTCGAGACTGTCTCCAAGACCAGTTGGACCACTGGAATTCTGGGACTGTTGCTGCACGATCACATCAACTATTGCAGAGTCTACCTGGAGGCAAGGGATTGCTGGGGTTCAAATCCATAAAATTGTCATTAATCAATCATAAATGAACTAATTATCGATAGTCCCAGAGATTTCTTAGCCATTGTCATTATGGAAATCATGAGGATTTCTGCAATAGATATCTTTGGATTACCGATTGCTGTTGCTCGACGACAGCTGCTACACCAGGTGGTGCACTCGCGTCTTCTTTGACTTCGTCTTCAATAACAAATTGTCCTTGCTTGAAGAGCTCCAATTCCTGCTTCTCAACTTCAGGCTTGAGTCTCTTGTTCTTTATCAAGATCTTACGTTTCAGAAGACTAGGGGGTGGCAACGACACACCGGGCTCCAGCTGAATTTTCAAAATCATAACTCATATCGTAGAAGAATAAAAAGCTTGAATTTATTTAAATTCGCATATAAAATTACCGGGTAGTCCTTCAAGGACTCTTTCAGCAACAAATCCCCCAGGATTTCATCGCAGTATTTGGCGAGTTTGTACTGTTGAGTCTTGCTGCAATGATTTTCAAAGCTGAGGATGACAGGATAGTCAGATGTAACGAATGCTGTGTCTCTGACAGCGTAGATAACGTCTCTGAACAGGATGTCAGTGCACATGGCTTTACCGTGGGTTATTATGGGCTCTTCGTCCTCGCCCTTGCCATCCCAACAGTCCAACTCGACGCATCTGTTTGGAAAATTGACGGAGTGATGATCTGTTTAAAGTCTCGTTAGTAAATCATTGATGTATCACCTGCAACCAGCCAGCAACACCTGTCTGTACATCTCCACGCTACTTTTTCCACCGAATTGGCGACCACTCAAATAGGTATTGTGACTAGAATTAATGTAGTAATGGGCCAGGGGTTGATCCATGTCCATGTACACATCCAATCTGTCAAGAAATACTGGAGCATTTTCGTCTGACATTAGGTACCTTATGAATCCATCCTTCGTCATTGTCTCTATAAATAAATAATTATCATTCATTCCAGGGAATTTCATTCGACGTTTCATCTCTTATTTGAAATGATTTATCAATTTATTTTCATATTACGTAATTCTGTCGAGTCGATCGATTTATTTTATTAGAAGGAAAAAACTGGAAAATACTGGAGCTCTAATTAGACGCAGTGGAATTTCCTGATGAGAGTGCCAGGTTTTATCGATAAAATTTTTTATTACGAGTACTGACATGTGTTGAGATGGAAACATCTTGAAGAACTTACTTTGATTTCTTGCCACTTCATTTTGCTCGTAGTCATGAATTATTTCTGATGCTCTCTTCTCGTCGTACAGCGGATACAGAATCTCGTTAAGTGTGGGATCACGCTGTTTCTCATTCAAAAATGTAATCAATTGCTCCAAATTGATTGTATCGGCTTTACCCTGGGTTCTATCGCAAGCATTAAAGTGTTAAAAATCCATTTATTCGGCGAATTCAAAGTAAATTCAACTACTCGATGGGATAAAAATACCAACATGGATTGAAACAGTTCCTCAATATCATTTCTGGGGCAGATTTTATGGTAAAGTGCATAAAACGCTTCGAAGGTGAAATCATCTGGCTCGATAACATCATTCTGAAAATATGAAATTTCTCCATGAGCTCAATCATTTTTTTGAATTACAGTAAAATTTACTCTGACGTTCATTACGAAAAATAAAAAACGAAAGGAAATTGCAATTTTTTGGTGACAAATTCATCGAGGGATTTTTAGACTCTCGGGGAATTTTTTGGTGGACACAATTTTCAGGGGCGATTACTAAATGTCAGATGAAATTTTACGGTAAATTTTTGGCTGATGTGTGGAAATATTTCTGAGACAACTCACTTTACCACTCGGCAATCCGAGTTCAGAGAGACAGTGATAAACGAGCTTTTCTGTTTTTCCCGATGCGAAGGTCCTTGCGACTACTTTAACGGGAACTTTTCCATTGGGATCCACTAGCATTCTCAATCTCATCCAGCTTGGAAGATAAAAAAAGGTGAATATGGGAAGGTGTACTGGGAGTTTTTACGATCATATTTAATTATTGAGGAATAAACATACTGTTTTTTTAGACAAGTCAACGGGCAAACGTTATTAGCTTTAACATTATGTGTAATTCGACGAATTCCAGTCAGCCATATCTGAAGGATCAAAAGAGACGATTAGTCAACGGATTTCAGAGGTACGCATGAAAAAAAACTACGGGGAGCTCTTCCCCGAGGGCTGTTTTTTTTTTATTGGAGTCACTCGTCCGTTATCACGAGGAGCAAGCAGAAAAAAAATTCCTGATTCGATAAAAGTCTCTTGATTCCGAAAAACTCAGTTCTCACTCCAGAATTCTCTTCATTTACTCAAGAAAATTTATTTATCACCAAGAAAAAGTTGAATAAAACTTTTTTCCTGAATCTGGACAATTCTCTCTCTCTTCTGGAGTTGGGAATTAATTTTTTTTTTTTGGTCACAATTTTTTCCAGTGATTGAGATTTCTTCATTTTTTTTTTCTAACATCAGGAAACTTTTTCTTCGTGTAAAGTTCGTGCAGTAGAAGCTGTGATCAGTTACTCTGTCGAGTTTGGAACCCGCCATAAGTTACACGGAATCAGCCCTCGCCACTGGAATAAGGGGATGAAATTTGGTGGTGGACCTTCCGCAACTCCTGGTCAAATCCAATTTAACTTATGAGATTTCCGTCCAGCCATTTGCTTTACGTTATCGCAGGTCCAACCGACACTCCGTGGACTTTTCTATTATTTCATTTTGAAAAAAATGGAAAACAAAATACCGAGGACTACCCGGAAATTAATTCAGCGGCCAGTGGGACTGAAAATTTTTTTATTCTAGTCACAATTCTGGAAACTCAAAATTTTCTTTTTCAATTTTTACATGCGAAAATTAATAAAAAAATGCAGTGAATTCGCGGTTGGAAATTTTATCGAAAACCGTTGATAGAGATTTTATCGAGATCATATAGGTAATAGAGAATTTGTTTATTAGAGTTGTGATGAAATTTCCGGAGATCTTCTGTGGAATTTCTATGGGGATGACGGAAATGTCTTACAGTTGTAATAAAACCTATAATTTACCTTCGCCGTGGTAACGTCTGAACAAACAACGTGCTGATAATTTATATTGGTGTAATCGACTCCCGAGCATATGGTCAGACTTTTATCGTCCAACTGTTCTCCATGCTTCGATACCAATTTATCGTAGAGCTTCGGATCCTACATTGATGTGATAATGCAAACATAATTAATTCATTATCGAATTTTTCCACATTCCGCTATTATCTATTTCCTCAACCCAGAGCTATCCGCAACTTTATCTTCCCCATAAATTTCTTAAAAATTTATTCCCTGTAATTACTTATAAAAAAAAATGTTTAAATTGATTTACAAAAAACGACAAGTCAAAAATATTCCGTGGAAATCACTTCAGAGCCGAATGGTTCCAAAAGTTTGAGGTAAATTTCATTATAAATATATCCAGTACATAATATATATACATATGTGAATAATGAAAAAAAAAGAATACAAATAGTTACGTAAAAGACGATTGCCCGAAAAAATTACATAAATTTCTAGTCGCGAGGTATAAAACATCGAAGATAAATACAAGATGATAAAATTTGTTTCGCACCTTTGGGACACCACCAGCTCGCACATCGCTCACTTGACACAACTCGATAACGTCCCCGTCCTGAAAATATATGAAAAAAATAAATAAATAGTGCAAACAGCGATATTTCGGGCTCGCGTATTAACAAACAGAGAAGAGCGCCTCGAATGGTCTCATTACCACAAATTGACGTACAATACAAATAAGAGATTTATTGGAATACTGGCAATATTGACAAGCAGTACACAAGGCCAACAAATTGACAAATGTCTATTGGCAATTGACAACTGCAAATGAGTGAACAGTTTCGTTGACAATAGGGATAAATTTTCAAGTTTCTGAATGAAATAATTCAATTTTTAGAGTAATGTAGGTAAATATTTCCAGTCGTGGAATATTGGGGTCTCACCTTTCCTTCGCTTTGCCAGTAGATGAAGAAACCATATTCGTCAACCTTGAATGTGCAATTCAGCTCGATCTCGGTGTTGTCCTTTTCTTCGGTCCAGCGATCGCAAACAGAACCGATGCGAAGTGCCTCTGGCACTTCCATTTGCCAATTGAATTCAAATCTTTTAGTCATGTTTGTTTTCAGTGGTGTCTTAATTTTATTCGAGTTATGCCGGTCTCTCAAGCATTAAAGTCAAAAGGCCGATGATTCATCCTCTCATCCCGAGCTAAACGCATAAACATTTGTGTCATTATTTCACCTATGGCGTCAGAAACTTTTACAAATTGCAATTTTTCAATTCTTTCATTCTCATCTTTTGATGTGGCTTTTTTAAAAAATTTATTGTACTCTCGTCATTTTTATATAATTATATAAATTAAATAATCATACAATTGAGGAATTTTCCACTCGAAATTGCAATCTCTCGTTTAGAATTCACTTTAGAATTCAATCTTTAAACTTGAGATGTTGTTATACTACTTTAAATCTTGGAGATCGATAAGCGCGGATCATCTTAATATTTCAGAATTTCCTGGAATATCGGTGGATGGGATGGGAAGGGCTCCGAGTTCAATTCCCGGTTGGTTGCATGGCAAAATCCAATCAATCAGGCATAATCAATCACCTGAATAATTACTCACGGCAAGTGCAGGAGACGTTAAAACCATTAGCCGACTCCATCAACCGTTTTAAGGAGACGCGCGAAGAGAAATTCTTCAGAAATATTTTATTACAGAAATATAAGGACAAATTCCAGCGCCAGGATTTCAATTATCATTAAACAAATTCTCCGGAAAGTTATTATTTCGATGAATAAATTAACGTATGACGAGGGAATCGATATTTTAGTGTCGATTTTACAGTATATTGTTTTATGAAGAATTTGTTGGATATTTAAATCATTGTGTAATTATTATTTATTTATTATTGGTTTTTATTTTTATTTATTGGTTGGATGAGAAGTGAATTGAAAAATGAGATCTGGAATCTGGTCTGGAGGATTTCTCGTTCGTTTTCTGATTTTCTGCGGGCCGATCGCTATTTTCTTTCATCTTGCGCAATATTGGAGAATTTTTCCGTTGACGTTGGATTGGATATTGCTGTTTACGATTCTCGAATGACGCCATTCGGTTCCCCAAACCATTTATAACCCGAAAACAGGGAATACTTCCGGCTTTCATGACGTTATTCTTCATGAGACATCGCTCGATGTTCATCAATCTGACCGATTCAATCCACTCGCATCGCCATCCATTTCCATCAACGCAGAGGGAAAATATGGGAGGGAGAAAAAATTCATACATTTTATCATTTCAACGGTATAAATTCCCGAGGCACATCCATCTCTTCCCCGCGCGCTATTCATCAATTTGCTGATGAAGTAAAACAGCTGCTTAATTAGAGAGGAGCGTATCACCGGGGGAAATCTGCAGAACGAAAAAATTCAGTGAAAATTCCCGGGTAAAAAAAAATTGTAATCGGAATTTTTTTTTTATTTTCAAAAAATTCCGGGAAAACTTTTCAGGATTTTTTTTATAATTTAAATGGCGTTTTTTTTGAGAATATTAAAAAATCAAAAAAAAAAACAATAATTAAAGGAGAAAATTATATTTCTAGAAAATTGTAAAAAAAAATTTCCGAAAGAAATTTTCGAAAAATTTTTCAAAACATTTCCCAAAAATAAAATTCTTGTTTCCCAATTTTTTTTTTTTTCAAAAGAAAAATTTTCGAGAAATGTTTTGAAAATTGAAAAAAATATTCCGATGACAATTTTTTTTACCCGGGCTGAAAAAAAGATGGAGAAAATTCCTCGACATTTTCTCCCGGAGAAATTATGACTTGCCTATTTTTTTTTTTCAATCGATTCCTGTCAAAATGGCATAAACATATTTTTTTTTCATTTATAGAATTTTTAATGAGCATTATTTCATCGTTTTATCGGTAATTAAATTGGCAAGAGTGTCAGTCTAGTGATCTGAAGATCGCAAGTTCAAATCTGCCACTGAATCCTACGGGATCAATCTCAAAACTGAGAAAATGAGCATTACTCCTCTTCACGTTCGTTATAGGGTGTCGAAAACTACTGTCGGCAGGGGTGTGGAGCCTACGCGGTAGTCAGAGCATAATGGAGCTATTGATTGACGACAGCTATAAGGTAGATTTTATCGAATTGATGTAATCGAATCCCACGTGCGGCGCGTACCGACTCTCTCACGTCAAATACGCTATTAAAAGATGAGAAAGAGGCGAATCGGTAAAGTGCTCTCGCCACCCCCAAACGCAGCAGAAAAATTGATCTAAAAAAATCTGCAATCGAGGAAAAAATCGGTAGAGCTCCACGGAAACACGAGTGAAAAAGCCGAATAAATAAGAATAAAATTATAAAAATAATCCAGCAGTCGAATCTTAAAAGGAAATAACATATTTTCACCGAAAGCAGATCAATCGGTAAGCGATCGAATTTAATTGTATGTCCGCACAATTGAAGGTCATAACGGGTGTCAATGAAGGACAGATCATAACAAAGTTGCAATTTATCGTGACTTTATTGAATTACGGAGTTCAGGGATGCAACACTAATTTGAGAAGTGGCAGGATCAATGTGAGGAAATATCGTGCTCCAATTACAGTATTTCCCGCTCCCGTCGATCATTAATACGGAATTATAGTTTTGCCAACTACTTAAGTAGATTAACGAAGTGACTTCATCTTCCTTCACATCTCACTCTACAAAAAAACATTCCAACTATTGGATTTCTATTGAATGTCAGTTCTTCATACGACCGCCGATAATCGAAACGGGTAATTAAAATAATGAGTGACAACTCTTTTCTTCCAGCAGGTAATTCTCCAGGGAGTTGCAAATACCTGAAGAAAATCATCGACATGTCACGAAGTCATACGCAAGGCTGAAGTGATAATTAAGGAATGTCAGACGATAAAAATGATAATAATATTGAAATTGGATAAAATTCCTGAATTGTTTTATTCATTCACTGCGTATCACATTCCAGTTGAAATTTTTTAGGATTTTCTCTAGTCAAGATGATGATGGGCGTGTGAGGGCTGTCCCCCATGAGCCCAAATATAAGAGGAGAGTCTTGTCCTGCAGATGATGACGAAGAAAAGCCACAGTAGCCAGAGGGCAAAAGGGCATTACATTTTCACTCAAACGAGTCAATCTCTTCCTAGAGAGAAGAGATGTGAAGACGTTGCATTAAATACAACATCTTCAGCTCAACTCATGATTTTTTTTATTGAAGTTTTTCTGGTCGATTCCAATCATAAAATCCCATCAAATGGATTATTTCCAATGGAATGACAAGCGAATCAAAAAAACCCGCAAGTGAGGGGAATAGTTGAAGCACCTCGGAACATTCCAAAAGAGGGAGATCGCGGTACATCGGTTTTCTCTCTCATAACTTGCAGCATGGGAGCAGAAAGAGATCAATGAAAGGTGGGAGACGAACGGGAGATGCCAAAAAAAATTCGAATGGTCTAGAGCCCTGGATGACAATCAGCTAACAGCACAATAAATTGACAGCTACCAGGCAATTGACGTAGAACGATGTGTGACAGCTAGAATGACAGATGATGAAAACAATGTGATGAATGACAGATTATTGTGATGAGGTGGTAATTTATTGTTGCTGTCTTACCAGGTACTACGGAATTACCGGCCGTACACCATTCGTGATCTCATCTCAATTCCCCGTGTTTTCGTCCACTGTTGGGACGGCACGAGTTGATTAGTTAATGTCGTTAGGATTTAGACCTAATGGTCGAACTGGCGCGATGAAATGTCACGCTGTTACCACGAGTTAAGACGTGAGAGCGCGAAATGTTGGGTGTACAGGTTTACTGTCAACTTACACCAGAACTAGCCAGCTGCTGGCTATCCTGGCTCGATACTGGGCCACTTTTCAATGCGCATGTGTCCCATCATCTTCCATTTGTATTGGTTATATCTCCTCGTCATCTAGCACTTGCAGCCACGTCTGTTTTTTATCATCACCAAAAGAGGACGCTACCAGTTCTTCATATTCAAATTTTTCCCTCAGAAAAAAATATATTATAAATATATATATATATAGTATAATATATTATATTGTGTATGTAATGTTGTATGTAAATGTATATAGCTGATTTATCGAGATATTTAACAGTCGAGATTACGGGTTCCAAAAATTAAATTGATGAAAGTTTATTTATTGAAATGAGATGACATAAAAAATAATTATGAAATTGGGAAGATGAAATCAATAATCGGAGAAGGAGAAGTCTGGGAAGAATAAATAAATTATGGGATGCAATCAATTCGTTCGTTACAAAATTATTTTACACGTGAGAAGCACTTGCTGACGAGTGCGAGGTTCAAGGTCAATATTTTTTACCTCAAAGTACTATTTTGAGCTGGAAAATGTGCCGCATCTTTTTTGGTCGTGATGCTATTGCAGCGACTTGCGTCGATCTTCTCACATACTAGTTTTCCAATCGATAAGACCGACAAATGGCTTCTGCACTTACCATGAGAGTCAAGTTCTTGTTTGCGGTTTTCTTTGACACAGAAACCAAAGAATAACTCAAAGTGGCTGAAGAAAAATATAAGAATTTTCTTGATAGGCCTCAAAGCCGTTTGCCAAGTCGCTGGACTCCTTTGGGTTTCAAGCGATTTCCAAAGTTTTCGAAACTCACAGGATAAGATTTTTAAAAGTCGATTATCGGAAAACCTCTTGGGATTTCCCCATTCCATAACTTTCGAGTGGGACTCCCAAATATTCGAAAATTCTTGCACCACTTTATGGTATTTTCGCACATATTTCCGAGTCTTAATAACAATTACAATAATAACAAATACAAGAATATAGAATTGAGTGATAATTTATTGCAGGTTAATGAAATTATGTAAAAATTGATCGTTGGTTTCTAAAAAAATATATTTTCCCAATTTTGTACGAGCTATAAACATAATGAGCGCGATTATCAACAGATTGTTAAATAAATAAATAAATACACAGCATGCATAAACCACTGGGGAATTCATAGGCACCAAGTGCGCCCCAATTGCGAGCAAATACATTTCTAAAGTCTATTATTAGAGGTAGAGTACATTAGACGATATATTATTAAGGATCTTTATTCACTGGTATTTACCGTTACAATGGGTTGAGTCCTATCCGAAATAAAATGATTCTAGTTGTATGTACAGCATGAGAAAACGCATCAGGTTAGAAAAATATGTTGTTTTTGTTATCGTAAGGGATATTCTAATGTCATCAGTATGCTGTTTCCTCAGCGAAGAAATACAGTTGTTGAGTGGCTCATCAACTTTCAGAGACGCTCTTCAGGAATGAATGTCATGATTTCCATTGGCATTAACTCAAAGTGACACGGAATGATAGAAACGGGGGAATCACAGCCCAGGAAGCAATTTCTTCTTGATTCATTTCGAAATTCCTGTCGACGATGACGACACGTCGATATTGCTTCCTGGGGATGAACGCTGATGGTACGCAATGCTGGCAGGAGTAATCGGAGAAAATAATCGGTCATTGAACGCGCATTGCGGACGTGTGTAAGGATTAATTTTTTCATTCGTACTGAGTTCTTCAGGGTGTACATTACATTTATGGAGTCGCGGAAATTTTCGTTAGCAGTGTTGTCATATTCGTACTAGGGGATCAAGCGTGCAAGCAGCTGAATGTGGCAACAGCGCAGTTGAAAATTCCGCGGCGGAATTATTCAGGCGAAACCTGAAGCTACTAGAATAAATCGGATGATTCTGGGAGCAGAACTCTTAGAGGAACCGCCGAGGGGCTATTCATTGGGGAAATCAAGCTGTCAATCTAAATTGATATCACATGAAATCAGTCTTGAAATCACTTGAAATCACGTAAAATCAGCAATAATTGTGTCATAATATTTGACAACGAATAACCGCTCGGTAACCATTTTTTTTTTATAGTGCGTTTTGCACACCTGACGCTCAGAATTAAAAATATTTTAAATAATTCCGCACGCTAGCTCGACACTGAGAAAATTAATGCCTTCTGCCAAATATTTATCTCCCACCGGTATAAATTTATATAAATACTTCCATGAGACAATCCAATGCCTAATATACAAGGGGAATCCCGTTAAAGTCCAGTCATACCTCTCCTCCATTTTTTTCTTTGTCCACTGAAGAATTGAATTCCGTGAAAAATAAAACTGAGAGATAAATTCCTCTCGTATTCGAATTTCCCGTGAAAAAAATTGATTTTACCGTTGCAGCGAGCGCGTGGTGGGGGGATTCCATATAGTAGAATCCTCCCGACTCGCCTCCCCTGCAGCCCCATCCGCCCAACGATGACGGGAGTCTCTTGTATATTTTTTTGTTGGTAGTAATTAGGCAATATATCGGACAATTATTTTTTTCTCAGTGCAGCTATTGTTCAGTTCTCAGAACTGCAGATGCTGAGGGAAATTATTAATTTTAACAACTTTCATATCTGATTGTACGTTCTAATAGATTGTCAGACCCGAAAGTCGAGGCTGCTATATTTAAGGCTGTTTGGGCAGTACAGATATATCTCCCCTTCAGAAATCAAGTCAGCCCTTAATTCGATAGAATTTGGTATTTATTTTTGTATTATTTTTCAGGATATGAAATTCAATTTCCAAAAAATCTCGCGCTTTCTCCAAAAAATTTAATCAAATCCCCAGAATTCTATGAAAATCATAAATTTTTATGGATCAATCCTTTCATTTATAGAACACCTATAGATTTATCGAACAGATTCAATGGAATTCCGTGCAGAAAGCGTAAAATTTTTTTATTAATTATTTCATGCATGTCGTGGAAAATTGGGGCAACGTGGACAGTCAATTTTTATCTGATGATAAAACCGCATTCAATTATCCATCAGCGCGATATTTCCTCCTGAATTGATCGATTTATTCCTGAGTTACGGATATTTAATAAAAATGCCTGACCACATTACCGCGACTTCCGGTTAAATTTATCCTCAACTAAATAAATTCTCTCATCGAACCAATAATCAACGCATATCATCAAACAGTGACTAACAAACTGATAAATTCTCTGATGACCAACCATTTTCATTCAAAATATCGTAATTCTCCTAATATTCTTACAAATCTAGTTACAACATTATTGTTCAATTTCGGAATAAACAATTTTATTCGTCCAGCCCGCAGTACAATTACGATTCCTTCCCCCAAAATAATCAATTAAAAAACCCTTGAGATATTTTCCATTAACAATTCATCATATATCTTCCAAAAATTTTTGCATTCAATATTTTTTTTTAATTTATCATTGAAAAAGTTAATTCAATAATCAAGTTAAAAATAGGGGAATATTTTTGGGGAATAGGATAGAAATGGTAATGTACCCGAGGGCGGAATTTGAAACGTTCATGCCGACAAACACAGATAACGCTCCAGGGCCTCGATGATTTTCGTGATAATGCCCAAACATCCTGAACAGAATGCGAGAGAAACGACATACCAAACAGCACCAGACTACGAGCCTCCAGGAGGCCCCCTAGTTGCAATAAAAATTTTTTGCAACACCGGTTACAATGATTAATCGAGAAGTTAATGGTACCATCCCCCAGAGATTTCAACAGCACCATCAATTCGAATACCAAAATTAGGGAGCAACCACCAATCTACCTCAATTTCCGAGAATGACGTGATCACCGTAAGTTATTACTTTTTGATAAACACAGAGATTGGAATTTACGTCGGATATCGCCTTAATCTCTGTTGATTACAGAGGATAACGAATTGATTGTGACCCAACTGGTCCTGGGGACAATATCTCTACGTCTTGGGATGTCCTCGTATTTTTTATTCTCAGGCCAAAATTCATTTTCTTCCAAATTCTATTTCTCGTAACTTTCACTAGCACTGATGACACGAATCATCACATTTATTACATGTCCACGGCATTCATACATACCCTGTAGGTGCAATTTTAAATTACAAGCGTACAACAGAGGATTTTCTACTGGATCGAAGTTTTTTTTTATTAATCACTACAGAATTTCGTCTTTCATTAATTAATCTCAACGTGCAGATCGCATTCAGTCAGTTCTCGTTCAGAAAAAAGATTTCTTTGGACAGATTGATTCATCCCAGAAACTACCGCTGAATATTTATTAATAATATTGAATAATGGAGGAATAATTAATGAATGATGAGAATATGATTGTGGAAATAATAATTGAACATTTTCATTATTTTTTGTGTGGTTACATCGAAAATCATAATTCTCCTTTAATTCAGATCTGCAAGTTTCATATTTTTTTGTTATCATCTTCATCGTCTCTCAGATCTTTTTATTTCTGATCACACGGGGAATTTCGCCTCGCGCTGTTGGACGGGAAATTTAATGTTTCATTTGGTGAATGAAAAAAAAATGACTGAACTATTCTGGGAGTAAAGAAATCTTTTTGTCTGCACCGAGAATCAATTAAAACTGGATCCATATATCCCCGGGTAAAAAAAAAATGTAATCGGAATATTTTTTCCAATTTTTGAAAAATTCCTAGAAAACTTTTCAGAATTTTTTTTTATAAAACAAAAAAAATCGGAAGACAAAACAGTTTTATTTTTGGGAAAGGTTTTGAAAAATTTTTCAAAAATCCGAATGGGAAAATTTTTTAAATAATTTAGATGGCGTTTTTTTGAGAATATTGAAAAATCAAAAAAGTAAAAAAACAACAGTATAATTAAAATAAAAAATGATATTCGCAAAAATTTCTAGAAAATGAAAAAAAAATTTGGGAAACAAATTTTCGAAAAATTTTTCAAAACATTTCCCAAAAACACAATTGTTTAGTTTCCCGATTTTTTTTTGTTTAAAAAAAATGTTCTGAAAAGTTTTCCAGAAATTTTTTGAAAATTCAGAAAAAATATTCGCATTACAATTTTTTTACCCGGGTTATCACGCGGTAAATACTCTTCCGGAAATATCGCTATAATATTGCATAATACTGCTACGGCATGAGTACTAAATATATTATATTTACAATTTTCTTTCTATCTACAAAAACGCGTATAGCATAATATCAAAATTATTTCATTATTGATCTAGGAACGTGAACATTGTGATTGATGGCGTAAATAGTGCGGATGAATAGATTTATGCGGGATATAGGGAATTGTACAGAATTTCAGATGAGTGATATAATTTTGATACAACAAGCTATCTCGTTCATAGATCAAGTGTCACGATCTTGACGGCATTAAATTCATAAATTGGCTACATGAGAATGAGAATCCGCGTGATCAGCCATGAATGCTTCCACAATTGATCATGCGGCGGTGGCAATCAGTCATTCATATCAAGCAGTTGAACGTTTTTCATGGAATTAATTCAATCAAGTGTAGACTTCCATCACCTCCTCCAGCAACCGACAAATATTAAATCAAGTCCAACTAAACTTGAATGAATTTTCATCCAGAAATAATGGAGTTTGACTCACCTCGGGGATCGATATCCGGACTGTAGTCGAACACGAATGATCGACTGGAATGATTTTAGTTGGGTATTTTAGAATTATATCCTGATCAACTTACGGAATGCCTTTCGAAATTCAGGATTGAATACTGTGTAAATGACAGGATTGACAAAACTGTTCATGTAGCCTAACCAGGAGGTGACGATGAAGGCAGCAACGCCGGGCTCGCAGTTCATCTGGAGTTTTGTACACATGGCATCCATGACGTTGCAGGTAAAAAATGGTACCCAGCAGATGAGAAAGACACCTGAATAAATGGTACAATTGGAGATAGGACAATTGAAGGTGAGAGAATAATGAGCGAATAATGAGAGAATAATGAAGCTATTATATCATTTTCTTACCGAGTACAATGGCTAGAGTCTTAGTCGCTTTGCGCTCCTTCTTTGCCGAACTTTTTTCTCTCTTTTTCTTGCTCGCTTTGTTGGTTTTGTAAATGGTGAATCGCGAGCAACTGCCTTCGATTTTAGTTTCCTTTTTGCACAAATTGCTCGCTGCTAGAATACTCGGGCTTTTCTTCAACTGCTGAGGTAGAAACGAGCTGACCGTTTTCAGTCTCTTCAGCTCCTGCTTGTTAAGTCCATTCCCATTATTCTTAGACTGGTGGCTACATTTTGGGGGTGGAGATGATGATGTTGATGATGACGGAGCAGACGTGACTCGTGGGTTGGGACTTGGGCTTGAATTTAAGTCTATTGAGTCGTGAGGCAGCACTGACACTGCTTCATTATTGTAAGATGGGTTTTTACCCAGAGCCTGGGCGACAACTCTGAAAAAAAAATATTCTGATTTTCCGGGGTTCAGATTTCTTCGGCTTTCCATTTTTATTTCACCAGAGTGAATTTTATTTTATTTTATTTCGCCCACCAAATTTCAAGTTTTCGTTGAAAAAAATGGAGAACTTTTGAATTTGTAATAATAATTATTGTTATGGAATTAATTAATTCGTCGATGAAGAATTTTACGGAAATTTCAAGAGAAAAATGGAGTCGGAAAGTGTCGAATTGGAATTTTTGAGATCCTGAATGAATCTCAGATTTTCAAAATTCAGAATGACAAATCCCGAGATGAAATTCCATTTTTCCGAGTGGAAATTCAATTAATTTGAATTCCCATCCGTCAGTTTCGACTCCCGCGAAGTTGACGTCTGTTTACGAGTCATTTTACCCACGCGACACATTTTCCGAACTAAAAGGCATTAAACTATGCACGAGACGCGCTCACTGATTGCTCTTTGTGCTGTCCCGTTAAAAATCCAGTGAATACAAATAATTAACGAAAAAGCCGTCAACGTAGAGCTCGAGTCCTCGCCGTGGATGAATTTCCCGAGAAGTCATTTGACTCCAATAAATCTGAGATAAATTCCCAGACTAGTATTTCATCATTTAAAAATCATAGAAACGAGTAAAACCATTCAACGCATCGAATCACGAAAGAAAAACATTTTCAATTCAATAATTCTGGAAAAATAGTGAAAATCACTTAGTGATTATCAAAAATGTCACGTTCCATCACTTGAAACGTCGAATGCATTCCACTTTACTCTAGAACCGCACGACTTACGAATCCCTAGGAAATATCATCCATTTCTCAATAACTCTCAGGTACTGACATACCCTTCGATTATTGTATTGATTCCTCGTTATCAATTGATGACAGCACTTCTATCTGTGGTAGCCTAGCAACCCCCTGTGTACATTATATCCACAAAAATATTGAACATGTTCTTACGTTGCCTCTTCGACGACTGTCGCCATGAAACACTCTGTGCCCTTTTCACTGAAGGCTGTTGGATCCAGGGGTGTCTCGTCCTCGTCCTCGTTGCTACCCGAGGCCGTATTCGTTGGCTCTTCATGAACTCCACCAACGAGAGTAGCTGTACCCAGCGCTGTCTCAGCGAATCTTACAACAGAATAAGTACTGCACATGATTTTAGGGGAATCCCATCTTTTTGTACCTGGAATTCTCCCACACAGGACAAAATTTGGAAGAAATTAAAAATGTTCTCTTTTATATTCAGTAAAAATTATGTTGTTTTATTTTTTTTTTTTATTTTCTTCGACATCTTGGTTGTTCTGTGTGGGACTCGGATACTCTACACGGGGATTCCTCTCACCTCTGGGTGTGGACTATATTCTCGATGATGCTTCCTGGTTTCATGTCTTTCAAGTTCGGTTTTTTGTTCGCTCTCGCTCGGGCCGCACGATTCCGAAGGGCCTATTGTCAATTAATCTCTTTAAAACACGAATATAAATTTTGTAATTTTTTTTGAATCGGGAAAAATCCACTTGCCACTCAGAGAAAAAAAATCAAATCTCGAGTTTTCTCGGGAATTTTCACTATTGGAAAATTTGATATACGAGACCTACAGCCCACTCAACCAATGAGGAATAAGTCCTACGCATTCCGAGATATTTCTACTTCCATACTAAGAATATAAATGGAATATATAAAAAATATATGCATTATTCAAATAAAAAGAAATGAAAAAATCGCTGGGGATAATTGAATTGTGAGGCATTTTTTTCAAGTTTTCGATCGTTTAATGCACTCACCTTGAATATATTCCAATAGAGGAAGACCATGATGATGCAGGGGATGTAGAAACTCGAGAGGCTTGAGTAAATGATGAAGTCAGAGTTGTAGAATAAACACAAGTCTGGAAGTCGTTCTGGTGTATTATTTAGGCCGAGAACAATTGGACTCCCAATCGCAGCTGAAATCGCCCAGACCAAAAGGATCGTCAACCACACTCTCCTATTATTTTTATGTTTGGCGTACTTTATTGGTTGAGTGACTGCAATATATCTGAAAAGAAGAAAAAAAAAAAGAACGCTTCATTGGAAGTAAAAATCCCCAGAAATCTCCGCGAAACCATTTTTTATTATAAATAACACTTAAAAATCTTTTGGAATGATTAATCGTTGAATTATTTATTGCAAAAAAATTCATCTGGATGTTCATTTATTTTCATTTTCAGTTCAATTATTTTAAAATTGTCAGGGATACTCTGGGGAAGTCAAGTCGTCGACTTATTAATCCGGGAAAATAAAAAATTTTTTAGAAGAAAGTGAAAGAACGACTTGTTGTTCCCCGGCATTGCGTCATCAAACAAGTCATTAATTTTTACGGTACAAATCGCTGAGTTTAAGTGGCAATCCGTGCAATTTTATTTCTCCCCTTTTATAGGATTCTCCACCGCTCAGAGATTCCCTCTGAATTTTTACGTTTTGTCGCTAATTTTAATGAAATTTTTTGTGAAAAACTTGTGCTCTGGTGATTTCTGCGAATACATGCTCTCACTTAGTCGAATATTACAGTGCGATGGTTACGGAATGTAGAAAAGGTCACAATAAAAATGTCACATTCGATAGAGCTTGAAATAGCGATGAAATAGTGGCTACCATCGATGTTAAAATACCGTAAACCCCGCGGAGTGGTCTGAAATAGTACGCGAATTTGCCAGAAATTTGGGTGATTATTTCTGGAAAAGCAATTGGCCCATGGGCCATAACACGGATGACATTAAACAACGATCCGATCACCATTTGTTCTCACCTGTCAATTGATATTGCAACTAAATTGAAGATTGAACTGGTGCTGCATGTCACATCCATCGCGATATAGAAGTCACAGACAAAACTCGGTAATGCCCACGTGCCATTCACCTAGAACAATGAACATCCATCACTCAGAAAAAATGTTGATAAGCAATGATTACATTAACAAATTGAATTTCTCCCGACGAATTCTTCCCGAACAATTCCCATCAGCTTTTAACTCATCCATGAAAACGGTAAATATGACAAGTTGAGTCACCAGTTGAGCTCTCGGGGAATATCTCGGAATCTAAGAGAGATAGCGATATTTTTCTCACCACCTTTTCTATGCAGTCAAATGACAGCTACAAAAAATGTCATGACAACAATTTCGCTAGCTCTCTTAGATTCCGAGAAATCCCTGAAAAACTTGTCCATCAGCTAAATCGATTTATTCCCTCTACCTCTCGGCCATTGAATCATGAAAATCATGTACCTCCAGAAGATGATTAAGTTGCATATGCTCTCAGATGTATCCCTCCACAGATTATTCCACTTTTGTATTTCCTCTAGAGAATTCCAATTAATTCTCCGTCAATAATAACTGCGAGACAATTGTCCGGAACGAATGAATACTTGGGGGAAACCGACATTTTCTTCTGAGAAACAGTAATTTAGTAATAGAAGTGGGTTACAATATGAAGGTTATTGAAAGACCGTTCCCCAGAGGGGGAGGCCAATATTAACGTCAGTTAATATTGATGAAAAAGAAAGTTTCTGGATTCTCTGGGCAACAAAAGACGTCGAGATGCTGGGGCATTGTGGAGTGAATTGATCATGAATCAGTTCATAATTTATGTCCGAGGGTCAAGGAGCAGGTGCCCCGGAAGACTCATTGTGGTACTTCATCGGATAGGCAGAAGCCATCTAGACTTTTCTCAAAGTCCTCCGGTTGGTAGAGCACGTCAGAAAGTGACCCCTCAGGGTAAAACCCTCGCAATCTTTGCTACCGTAGCTTTTCCCCCAGGCAATTACGATGCATTTTCTATGTCTAGCCGAAAGATCCATTTGTCACATACTCACAGAGGGTGCCTCTCAGGGGAATAACAGTATTTTTTTTATCAGTCACTTCGACAATCGTCTGACACACGCATCATAAATTTTTATCTTTTCTTATCACTCATCATCTTTGAACGAGATTCTCCACCGAGTGATTGCATCTGCAGAAAATTAATAACATATTCCGAAGGAAATAATAATCGAGAGTGGAAAATTGAATTCACTCCATAATATTTATTCATTTCTCTCATATAAATCAACTAATTCAAAAGATAAATAATAACAAACAAGTATTTAATAATTAAATTTTGAGAAACCCCTGAGGCCAACAAATTGGAATTATTAGAAATAAATCGACAGACAAATTATTTTCCCCATATTTTTTCTCATTCATCGATCATTTTTAGAATAACACATATAAATCATTTTTATTATAATAAAAAAAACTCTGGAGTGAAAACTATAATTGAAATTGAAAAACTGCCCGAGGTGATGGTAAAATGAATATAAAATTCCCACGATCCCTCAAGTTGTTCATAAAGAATAAATTAATAAAAGCAAGTGAATGGCAATTGTGGTATGATAAAAAGCTCACCAGTACGTAGACAGCAAATGGCATAACGAGAACAGCAACGAGTAAATCAGCAAGTGCCAAACTGACGATGAAGTAATTGGTGACAGTTTGTAGTGCTCTCTCTCTCACAACAGCAAGTATAACAAGTACATTGCCAAAGAGCGTTAAACACGGTACAATAACAAGAATAAGTGCCCACCAATTGTTAACAGTGGATTTCTGACTGGCATTACACTCGGAATTAACATCACTAGTCTCATTACTGGTGCACGTATCATTAACTTTTGTCGAATTTATTCCAATTCCCGTGTCATAATAAGTAGTGAGATTAACGAATACACTGTAATTGAGTCTCTTAATGTACTCATTGAGATCATCGAAGACAAATAAATTTGATATAAGAGTGTAATTGTCCGTGGCATTACCAATTGTTTCTAATCGAGCAATTGTTGTTGAGAATGTTGAATTTGTTATTGTATCGTTTGACCACTCAAACTCAACACTCGAGTTACTCAGTATCTCATTTTCACTCAGATACGTGACATTGTTTATAGCTGTACTCGAAAGTACTCTTATTCTACCAGGGACGATACCACCGGGTGGATCATCGAGATATGGCAGCTCGTATGCGGCTGTTATGTTCTCCTTCGCCAAACTCGGATATCTACTTATTATCTCCTTTTCCATGTCTCTGGATTTTTTTTATTTTTTTCTTGTCAAGCCCTTATTTCACTTTTCCTTTTGTAAGCATTTTGACAGGTCTTGTCAGCGCACAGTCAAGTACTCCCGATGTACTCCGATTTCATTGTCTCGTTTGTAAATTACCGGCACTCCAACAGACGGAAATTTTTACTGTCTACGATTTTACTGCGATTCCTGATTCTCGCAGTTGACAGCCCTGGAACAGCAATTAAACGTAATTATTTATTAAGTTCATTTGATTTTTGTTGGTGGTTGGTTAATTGCATAATTGATTTTGAAATTATTTATTTATTGAATTTTATTTAGAGAGGATCTTTCAGCGCTGAAGATTCCATGAAGACATTCCATGATTCTTAATAAATTATTGGGTCTGGACTCTGGGGTCTTGCGGTGTTTTTTTATTATGTTTTTTATTGTCTTGGGAATAATTCATGGAATATTTCCATCGATGGTGAGTTTTTACTGCGGAAGATCCAATAAACTTTTTTTAGTCCGTCGTTTCCGAGGATTAGCTCCTTGTAATATTTCGTTTTTTAATTGGAATGGGGCAAGGGTGATCGTGGGAATATTGTAAATAATTGAAGTGTCCCGGAAATTTCAGGCGAAATTTATGGGTGTGCACACCGGATGGCGTAAGTCAGGGTATGATGATCGGAGTCTGGGGCACGAGGGGATGGTTTACGCCGATATCAGTTAGGGAAGTGTTATGTACCCTCAATACTCCGTTAGTTGTTCAATACACCACCAGCTGACGTATACGCCAAGATAAATATTCAGTTAAAATAACGCAAAATTTACGTCACGTCGTCCCGAGTTATCCATAATTTTTTATACAAAAGTTATGGATTTTCCATAAAAATTCCAGGAAATCTATTAATTTTTTTATTATTTCAAAAACAAAATTATTATTTCAAAAAACAATTATTTCAAACAAAACGCAAAGAAAAACCCGAAGTTCTGTTTTTTCGTTTTAATTCAATTAATTAAATAATAATTGAAATAATAAATTAAACAGATATTCGTTTTTTACGGAATTATGTGGCGGAGATTACGGGGTTAAGATGTAAATTACGAGTGAAAATGTAAATGTAAATAACGATTTTCATGTTGCAGTTTACACTTTCAATTTAAACACCTGGAATTACTTTCCATAACGCGTATTTAACGGCTTTATGCCCCGGCAATCGCCCATGCCTTGAAATTTCCGTGGAGCAATAACGACAGCATCATAACAGAGGGACGTAACTCCCAAAAATTATCCTCCAAGTAACCCAGACATTTTGGTTAACATTTACGGAGGACGGAGATGCTGGTGGTATGACTTGCGCCGATACGAGTTAAGCAAGTGTTATGCACTGAATCATACCCTAAAATATTCAATATTACCCAAAAATATGGAAAAATTACCCTATCACATCTTCCACGGAACAATAAATATGGTAATTACCACCGGAATATTTTTTTACAATTTTAACTACCTCTGGGTTTGGAAAACGCAAAATTTTTTTACTCACATGCTCGGAATTTGTTTTTACATCGTGTTGTTGGGAAAATAACTTGCCGATATCGCGAATTCCCCCCGGAAATTCGCCGAAACAATAGCCCAATGAGGTTTTATTTATTTTTATTTTTTTTCAACAGTACCACTGCCGCTGGCCATCGCCCGAGGGCTTACCCAATCATTTTTTATTAACTTTTATATTTGGAACAATCAGCGGGGGAATTTTTATCGGGATCTTGTCAGGCGGTGATAATCCACCACTTGTAGTTCATTTTTTGTTTAACTGTTGACATTTTTTTAGTCGAGGAATATTAGTCTAGAAATTTTAAACAATTCACACGATTTTTTTGGCTCGCGATCGCGGAAATTCTCAAATATAATAATAATATTATATTATGATTGTTATATTAAAAAATTGGAATTAGAAGATCGATATTTAATTGATAATTGTAGGGATGTCTTTGTTGTTTGGGTTTTTATTATTAAGAGTTGGATGAAATATGAAAATTGAGGTGCAATTGATTTTTATCTCAAGATTTTTCAATTTATTTTCCAATGGCTTTTCAATGTCCTGAAGTTCAATTAAATTTGACTAATTTTCCAGCTGTGGGATAGGCAAGTTCCGGGACATTGGAGAATTAGGGCGTCGCCAGCCTCGAGTAAAAATCGATTAAATCGGTGATTGATTTAATTACATTCTTCTGACTTTTTCGCTCTGGAGGTGATGGGGTTGTCAGTATCGGAATAATCTTAAAATCGTTACGAAAATCGCATTCCAATTACACGAAGAACCGTCGGCCTGATGCTGGAGCTCAACTACTTGTCTCCCATGGAAAATCTTCGGGGGAAATATCGAATAAAAATGGCGAGTAATTCGCAAATTCTGGAAAATGGAGAGACACTTGAAAATTAATTATCATTCACAGGAATTTCACCCAGAATTCTTCATTGAGGAATCATTCAATTCCTCAGATGCTAAATTAAATCCCATTTGATAATCAATTCCAATAAAAAATTATTTCCAAATTTCTTATTTATCTGGAAGAGTCACGAAAATTCGGGGCTCATGGAAAATGATAATTGAATGAAATACAATTGAATCTCCGAGAATACTTTCTGAATTTCCAATTTTCATCTCCACGAATGATAAATAAATTAAAACAGCAATTATTTTATCGTGTAATTACCTCGGGGATAATTAACGGAAAAACTTCCACTCAAAGTCGATTTTCCATCGAAAGTTCGAAAAAACTCTTTAATCGATCGTCTCCCAGGATTACCCCGTAATTCAGTTTTTTAATTAGAATATTATAAATAATTCCACCTAAAAAAATCTCCACTTCCGGGAAACTCCCGGTTCAATTTCCCCCATTTCCCGGACTATTCCCAAAACCACCCGATTCCCTGATTTTTTTCCTCAAAACGTCAAGTCAAATTTCCTTTAAAATTTCCCTGATTACCAATTAATTACCATTACCACCCTTAATTATTAATTATTATTTTATTATTATCAATTTTCCATTGCTCTCATTTATCTGCTTCTGTGTGTAATTTTCGTCTATCCCGTGAAGAAAAATGGGAAGACAAATAAATAAAATTTCCCCTACAGAATGAAATGCCGATTCATCGCGATGCGGGGGGTTTCAACCCCTAGTGTATTATTAATCACATTGGAAACGCGGTATAATGACCTATCGATATCACCAGGGATTGGAGAATTGCCTATTGGAAATATCCATGCTTTTCCGATAGAAATCACTTCCGAGACGGAAAAGATGTGAATGGAAGCGGTGAATCTTGAATATCGTCTCGATTTATACGACACATTTGACGGATAATCCCCAGATATCGCACGTGGATTTTGCTGCATTGTTTCCAGCGTATAAATATAAAGAGCTTATAAGTGATACCATGTATTGGGATATTTTCTTATGTGGGGCAAATGATATATTTATATTCAATGTGCTTCGGGATCCGACGGGGATATATTCTTCCAACCGGTGCCACCTTTTCAGACAAATTACATCCTGGGAAATTTATCGTTAAATTCACTCTGACGTTTAGTTATCGTATCGAGTATTCGCTGTGATGGAATTTTTATTCTGACGCTTTTCGATAATTTATGGGGGAAATTTGAATTTTTCTCGCGGATTTTTTAACAGAATTTTATTCCAGCGGAATTTTACAATTTTTATAATTAAATATTTAATGGAATGATTATTTATATGGGACAATAAATTACTTTCGTCTATTTTTTATATAGTAATTAGACGATTGGGGTTTTTTTATTGTTTACAGATGGAATGTGCATTTTTTTTTTTGGGAATTCATGTGCTGGGAGTAGAAAATTGATATTTTTAATTCTTGGACGTGGAAATATGCGGAAATAAAATTTCCTTTCGCCGGACGAGTCGCTCGATCGGAATACCAAATGGCAAATCGAACTAATCGACGGATCAAAGTAAATAAATCCCTGAAAATGTGACCTGTCGTCCAATATTTACCTCTTTCGACAGCTGAAAAAAAAAAAAATTCACTGGCACATGCAGATTCAATAAAAAAAATACAATATTCTTCATATTGATGTATTCAATTTCGCGGCGTTTTCCAGTTGCACTTCGCAGAGAAAAAAGAATCCTTTTTTTTTTTCAAGGGAAAAATCACTTGTTTCGGGGAACTCGTGATTCTAGGGTCTAACGAGTGGAAATTTTTCACAGAGAGAAAAAGTTTCCTGATGTCTGGTGAAAAGTTTCTAGATCAGTTTCTAAACTAGTTTTCTCGAATCTAGAAACATTTTTTATAATCACGGAGAAAATTTCTAGAATCGCCAGCAAAAAAAAAACTTTTGTGAAAATCATTTATATTGGGTCGGGGGGAAAACAGTTGGAAGCCCTGAGAAAAAAATTTATTGAACAAATTAATTTATTTAAATGGATGACATGAAAAAATTGAATTTCCCCCACTGAATTGTTTACAGACAATTCCGATTAGCTTTTAATTCATCCGTGAAAGTGTTAAGCGTAACAAGTTGAGTCACCAGTTGAGCTTTCGGGGAATATCTCGGAATCTAAGAGAGATAGCGATATTTATCTCACCACCTTTTCTATGCAGTCAAATGACAGCTACAAAAAATGTCATGACAATAATTTCTCTATCTCTCTTGGATTCGAAGATATTTCACGAAATCTTAATCGATTAACAACTAGAATCGATTCATTACCCTTTCCCTCTTCTCACTTTTCGCCAAATAACTCCAAACCCAACCGAGTTACCGAAATTCATCTCGGAACCTTTTTTGTGGAATGGAATAAGAGCTGCGAAAAAGGTCTATACAAAAATTTCGCTAGCTCTCTCAGATTCCGAGAAATCCCTGGAAAACCCATCAGCTAACTCGACTTATTCCCTTTACCTCTCGACCATTGAATCGCGAAAATAATGTTCCTCCAGGAGATGATTACGTAGCACATGCTCTCACATGAACATC